CGAAGCCAATACTTCTTTCCTTTTACTTGAGTAAAGAAGTTTAGTCAGTACTTCTACTTTTACCTGAGTATTTTTAAACACGAGTATCTGTACTTCTGCTTGAGTAAAGGATGTGAGTACTTTTGCCATCACTGAGTATAATAGGAGACCTTTAAGAATACAATTAGGGGATGTAATTAAAATGTGCTTTTCCACTCGAGGTGTTTGTGATGCCCTGTGCCACAGCCCACATGCTGCTGAACCTTCAATACCTGGACCTGTCCGACAACCTGCTGACCGACCTGACTCTGACTGAGACGCTGTGCAACGGTGACGGCACGCTGAAGGACCTCCGAGTCTTAAACGTCAGCGGAAATGCTCTGAAGGTACCTCCATTTAGACCTAAAGACGTATCATTTAGGGTTTTCCTTTGCCAACTGTTAATATTATGGGCAATGAACATGTGTATTGATTATTTTGAGGCACTTTCGTTGTACCTAAACGTAGATCTAAAGTGTTTCCAAGTTTTGATTGCACTCTCAGGTGTCGCTGTTTAAATGCAAGTTATTGTTTTTTATCCGATGTGGAACACCTGAACTTTTGAAAAAACATCCAAAACATTCATCTGTTTGCAACTTACAAATTATTTATCTAATATCATATTCCAATTACTTGTATAGACTCTTCTTGCACTATTCGTTCAGTTTTATCATGTTGCTCTGTTGGAGGAGCCTGTGACCTGATATGTTCATTGACATTTCTACACTCTAGCTACTGTATGTCCAAATGACAATAAAAGCCTTGAATCTTGACTGTGGCTGAGAGGGAGTGCAATCGTCTTTCAATCAGAAGGTTGTCGACGTATCCTTGGGCAAGATACTTAACCCCGAGGTGCTGCGGATGTCCAACGGTGTATGAATGATGACATGTAGTATCTAAAGAGCTTTAAGGGGTCGTAAAGCGCTATATAAGTACAGTCCATTCACCATTGTTGTGGTTTTATACAACATTGATACCACCTTATAATTACAAAGAAGGTCCATAATTCCTAATTTACCAGGATATTTACCATGGTAATCGTAGGCTGTGTAGTGCTATATATCCTTTATTTAACCAGGTAAAAGTCTCATTATAGGCGTGTTCACACCTGAGTGCTTTTCCCGTTTAGTTCCGTTAGTACCCCTTATGTCGCGTTCACAGCAAAAAGAGTACTTAGTGCTGGGAACTTTTACCCTCATTTATAGTGCCTGCTGAGAGGTGGTACTCTCCTGGGGGGTGGGGGGGGGAAGTGACCCAGTTCTGATTGGCTGGGCGAATTGCAAACCACGCCCCGTAAAACTCTGAAATGTTTTGTAGAGCCGCCATTTTATTATCCTTGCATTAGCATGATTAGCATTAGCATTAGCCCAGCGCACAAACGCAGAGAGACTAACTTATGGCAACACAAAAGAAAACATGGGAGCGGTGGAGATGAGGAGGTGTCGGCGTTCTGGCGATTTACTCAGAAGATAACTCCGGGGACTTCCGGCCAGGGACTTCGGGTGGCAGTATACGCCGTGAAGTTGTTTGCGGCCTGCCAGTAAACCCAAAGCAGAAGAAGAAGAAGTGACGTCAGCGGCTCATTTGCGTTATCTTCCCCCATGGAACTTATTCCGGTGTGAACGCGATCTGCTCTTAGTTCAATAGGGGAACTAAATGCTGGGAACTAAGTGCTGGGAACTAAGTACGGCAAAGTACTTGGTGTGAACCCGGCTATTGAGATTAAAATCTCTTCTTCCAGAGCGACCTGGCCAAGAGGGCAAAATGAACAATGTTAATACAAATGAACAAAGACAATACAGGCAGACGGTCGTAAAGCACAAATGAAATGGCACATTAACCAGTCAATATGCAAATAATAGAAACTATTATAAAACGTAAAAAACTGGCACAATTATGGGATACAGCAATCACGTCGACCAATGGATTCTTGTTCTCTGTCCTTTCAGATGGACCTGAATTCCCCCATAGTGATACAATCTGAGAGTTTCAGCTCCTTCTGTACATTATTCCAAGCATAAGGGGCAGCATATTAGCAGTACTCCTTTCAATCTAAGAATACATTGAAGAATAAGGCCCCAGATTTTAAGACAACGTTACTTCTCTGCAGTCTTTGTCCACGGTGAGCCGGCTGGTGACGAATCTCTCCAAACTGACCCACCTGGACGTCAGCAGGAACGGATTCATCTCCATGCCCGGGGGCTGCTCCTGGCCTTCCACCCTGCGATACCTCAACATCTCCTGGGCCAAACTCACAACCATCTCACCCTGTCTACCCGAAACTCTGGAGGTACTGAGAGAGAGTAATCCAATACAGAACACACTAAAACAGCTGTGAACATAAACACACCTCCACCCTTCAAAGACCGTCACCTCAAACATTCATAAATATTTATAAAGCATTTATGGAAATTGTTAGCATCTATTTAGGAACACAATTATATTTACACTTTTGAAGTTTTTAATATTGACAGTTTATAGCCTGTAAAATGTGTAAACATTTACATTGAGATCTAATTTATTGTGTATTTCTATTACTGAAGTTAGAGATGCCAACGGAATTGTGTTATGCCTTTGAATGATGACAATAAAAGGTATTCTGACACAGTGCTGCTTCTCGTACTTAAACAATAGATCTTAAGACTTTGTCCAGCATTGTTTTTTATCCTTCACAGGTTTTGGATCTGAGCAACAACGATCTAAAAGCCTTCATTCTGATCCTTCCTGCCCTGAGAGAGCTCCATCTCTCTGGGAACAAGATACTGAGCCTTCCCCCTGGATGGATGTTCCCAAACCTGCAAACACTGACCATACAGGTGAGGACCAATCTTAATATTTCTTATTGTATTCTTCAAGCCCCGGGGAATGCGCCAGATTATAGTAGTGGCCAAACAAATGTATTGCATGCAGGGTTTAAATTGTTAAATGTCCCATGTCATGTTTTTCCGGTTATTACCCGTCCCCTTGTGTGTTATGAAGGTTTTTCTGCATGTAAACGGTCTGCAGAGTCACAAACCCTCAAAGTACACCCTGTAGCGAGTTAAACTCTAACACAGAGAAGACCTGTCTATGCTGCCCCAGAACGCCTCGTTGGACATTTCTCTTTTTCCACAATGGACCAATTCGCACACTTCCTCAAACACACACACACACGCACACGCACACGCGCGCGCGCGCACACACACACACACACACACACACACACACACACACTCAA